GTGGAGGTGAGCCTGGAGAGAAGAGGAACGAAAGTCGTAGAAGATGAAACAATCCGTGTGTGCGAATGAGAGCGAGGCAGGTGGACATGCTGGAGTTTAAACACCTGGGCTCAACCGTCTACAGACAGGTGACGAAGAGAGTGCAGGCAGGTGGAGCGGGTGGAGGCAAGTGTGACAGAAGGACACCGTGAAAAGGGAAGGTCAAAGGATGGAGGTGAGCAGGCTGGACATGAGGGACGGCTCAGATGGTCTGAGCATGTGCAGAGGAGGGAGGGTGGAGGATGACGATGGAGCTGCAGGCAGGTGGAGGTTCATAGTGAAGGAGGATGTGCAGAGGGTGAAGTCAGTTCCTGTAAAAGTAGGAGTGAGATCAGACTCGTGGCGCCTGAAATGGCGGTTTTATTAGAGCGCTGCATGTGACGGATTTAAGACGTGATGCAAAGATCCGGGGAGAGAAGAAGAAATCCTGTCAGAGCGAAGCCGCTGCTGGGAGATTACAGCCGGAGGCTCTCCGAGGACAACAAAGACCAAAATATATATAGATCCTCATCCTGCGAATGAGCGAGGAAGTATGATTACGTGAGCGTGTCAGGCTGACGTACGAGCGCTTTGATCTGAGTGATTTGGGGAAGGATGATCATCCCTGGACTCAGCTCATGAATAATAAAGGAAACGGCAGAGGGAGAAACTTTAATCATCTTAAACTATTGAAATAAATAATACAGAGAAAAGACTGAAGTCAGGCTGTAAACCGAGAGAAAAATAGGTTACAAGTGTGATCTGCAGGTACAACAGCTGCTGCACAAACACACATCACACCTGAAGAGGCTTCATCTCCCGTGACCTAAAAACGAACCACGAGGGAACTAAAGATCAGGACTGAAGATCCAACAACATCACAGGATCTCCAAACCCTGACGTTGTCAAATGAACCAGAAAGCTTTTTATTGGCTCCTCAAACCTTCCTCTCAGAGAGGATCCAAACCCTCAGAAAGCTCCAGACGAGCTCCTCGGGTCGTCCTGAAAGTCAGCAGCTTTCTCCTTCCTGCCTGAGGAGAGCACACTGATGAGTCGCTGTGGCGTGAACGCCGGCGAACGCTGTGTTACTGTGTAGCATCACCTGTTCTTTCAGCCCCTTGTTGTTCTCAGCTTCAGTCCTCACAGTCCGAGAGACGAGGACAGGAAAATAAATAAAGCGATGTGAAGTCACAGATCCAAAATTTAAATTATTCTCACAAACATGACAGAAAGGAAGTCATCGGCTGTTCTCGACAACATGGCTGCTTCACGGCGTTTCGCTGCTGCTGCTACGGCCTGTTTGAGTCGCGGTTTCTTCTTCTCTTTAGTCGACGGCTTTTAAAAAAAAAGATTATATATATATACATATGTATTGAATATATATGTAATGTGACAAAGAATCATAATAATAATCATAACAACTTGAGGATCTTTATATTGTGAGGTAGGCCCTGCAATAATCCAGAGAATCAGACTTTGGCGACAGCGGGAAGGAAAAACTCGCTTGGAACAGGAAGAAACAGGAAGGAAGGTGTTGGGTTTGGGGGAGGAAGTCGTGACAGTGAGAGGTGTATGAACGCCGTCTGTGACCTCCGTCTCTCTTCTTTCCAGGTTTGAAGTCTCTCGGTATGACCATCGCGCAGTGCTACGAGGAGGTCGGCCTTCTGCTCCTCTTCCTCGGTGTGGGCATCTCCATCTTCGCGGCCGCAGTCTTCGCCCTGGAGCACGACCTTCCTGCCACCACCTTCACCAGCGTTCCCGCCGCCTGGTGGTGGGCGACCACGTCTATGACCACGGTGGGCTACGGGGACGTGCGGCCCGACACGGCGGTGGGTAAGGTGCTCGCCTTCCTCTGCATCCTGTCTGGGATCCTAATCCTGGCGCTCCCCATCGCCATCATCAACGACCGCTTCTCTGCCTGCTACTTCACCCTGAAGACGAAGGAGGCGGCGATACGACACGGCGAGATGCTGAAGCGGCTGGCCCGTGGCTCGGTGGGGGAGGCGGGGCCGGGCGTGAACCTGAGGGACGCCTATGCCCGGAGCGTGCTGGAGATGATGAGGCTGCAAGGGCGGGAGAGGGCGAGCACTAGAAGCAGCGGGGGCGACGAGCTGTGGTGGTAGCAAGAACAGCCCCGCCCCTATGACCTCTGACCCCTCGGAGAAACGCACACACGATGACCCCAGCAGCAGCAGAGCCCGTGATTGGACAGGAGGACGCCAGCAGGAAGGTAGACCCAGGAAGACGAGTGTGAGCATGCTCAGACCGTCCCGCCGTACGCTGTGCCACGCCCAGCAGCAGCGTGTTCCCGTTTAACTCATGACTTTATTCACAAAACACATTTCCTCTCTGAACATTAGCCCCGCCCCC